TGCTTGTTTTAGGGTAAAATCCACTTAATATTAGCAGATTATTTCTTAAAACAAGACAAAATGTTTTGCTTGTCTTGAAAATTATTCTCGAATTAAGAATTTTTAGATATTTGGACTAGAAACAAGACAAAAAATCTAAGTAAGAAAAGCCTTTTTTGCAGTGTACTGCTATAATCTTATACCGGCCCATGCCTAATGCTTACGCATATGGTTTGGTGAATTTGGTTTGGTGACAGAAGTATCCACAGTGAAACAAAGTGACAGTGAAAGGACAAATACCCAAATAATAAAGGAATAAAAAAGCCATTTAATTAAAAAAAAAAGGCATAAGTTAATAAAGAATACAAAATAAACCAACTGACAAATGTATGTGCATGCATATTACTGAATGCTCAGTTTGCTTTTTGATTAAACTACATTGCTTTCAGTTTCACAGGCGTTGGTTTGGTTGCACATAGAGACTAACGTCTTTATTCTGGGTTTACCACTCTTACGCCCCATTCACACAGCGTCAACGCTTGACTGAAGGCGTGTCTGAAATTGAGCCTGAAGCGATCGTCATAGCAGCGTCAGCCAATGAAATCCAGTCAGCAATAGGCCACTGTCTAGCTGGTGTATTTGCATACAGCGATCTGATTGGCTGACGCTTCCGTCGGTGCTTGAAAAGTTGAGCTAGTCCCAACATCTGCAGCGAGCAACGCCTCTGAAGCGGTGCCGACGGATCCACAATGCAGTTCGGCAACGCCTGACGTCACCCATTCAAAGTGAATGGGAAGCGTTGACGCTGAAGCCCCGTGTGAATGGGGCGTAAGTTAATACACTTGCATATAAAGTAAATAATATCTCAAAACATTTACTGGGACACTGGCAATTTTTGCTGGGGCACGTGCCTCAGTAAATGATGTCTTGCGACGCTCCTGTGTGTGTGTCTTTCTCAAACTGCTCCTGTCTGTAGCACTAGTTTCTTCCACATCTCCAAAGCCTTCAGTTGTGTTCTGATGTGATTTTTGACTGGGCGTGTGTGTGTGTATGTGTGTGTGTGCAGCTGTGGTATGGAGTCTCCGGCAGCGGTGGACGATGACATCTGTATCCTGAAGCATGAGTCTGCGTACGGTGCGGTGGAGAGCCCGGTGTCGGTGTGTGCCGGAGACGAGTCTGTGGCGTCGCACTTCGCTCTGGTCACGGCCTACGAAGACATCAAGAAGAGACTTCGAGAAACCGAGAAGGAGAACGGCCTGCTGCGCCGCCGCGTCAAACAGCTGGAGGACAAGGTCAGTTCATCAGCATCACACAAACAGCAGCTACTGATGGGAGAAACTGAGCTGTTCAAAGCTTCGAAACATTGACACCAATTGCTTTACAAAACAATTCACTGCTGAGAAGCGTTTAAAACACCACGAGATAGGGACACCTCATGGGTAAAACTGTGGACATGCAATGGAAAGGTTCATTGTAATGTTTGTATGTGTACACATATATCATCAGTGCTGTTATCATCAATGATGTGATTGTCAACGCTGTTATCGTCGACTCTTAGGGGTGTAACAGCTCACGGTCGATTCATGATTCATACGGATCACAACCCATGGTTCAGAACACACATGACCCGCAGATTAATACTTTGTTTTTCATTTGTTGATTAATCCTAAATATCACAGGCAGATCGCCTCTTGCATCATTCAAATCACATGTATAAAAGCATTCAGGCTTTCCTGTGAAATATAATGATGACGGAAGAAGTTGTGAGGTTATTCGGGATGTGGTGGGTTTCTTAGAAGGTGTTGGTTATTAATTTGTGGGTTATTAAAGGTGTTCTCTGTCACTAATTGGCAACAAATTATTAACAATGGCGATTTGCATATGTTTATTAATCCTTAATCACAGTCATATGCGTTTAACTTGACGCTCAAAAATGAAAGTTGTAGGCAGCAATTACATTATGTAACCAATAGGTGGCGACAACCCGCCTTCTAACCAGCCATCAATAATATGCCACTAAATAATTCTTCAAAAATGACATATCTAGCAATGAAACATGAAGTTTTATAAGTGAATAACTTAAAGATTTTTTTGAAAATAAGACTAAAAATAAATATGGGTTATACAAATTATGATTTTAGATTTATACATTTAGTGTTTTCAGCATCAGAAGTAGTAACAGTGAATTTTTCACAGCACTGAATATTTTAGAATTTATTTTTATTCAGCTGAATATGTCTTCATTTTATTTTTGATAAAAGTTCTGTTGATTAACCAAAGGTGTCTTGCAGTACTGCTTTTGTAATAAATGTAATAAATTACATTTGTCTCCTTCCCTTTTTGGCCGATCCGAGAAACGGTCGATACTTGACTAAAAAAACATAATGTGATGCGAACTGTAAGATTTGTGATCTGTTACACCACTGCCATCTCTTTTGTTGTGGTCATCTTTGTTGTCGCCAGTTGTGTTGTCATCGAATCTGTTACCATTATCTCTGTTATTGTCATGTCTGTTGTCGTCAACTTGGTAAGTGTCAGCTCTGTTGTCGTCCACTCTTTTGTCACCGGCTCTGTCGCCGTCAGCTCTTTTGTCGTCAGTTCTGTTACCGTGGGCTCTGTTACCGTGGGCTCTGTTACCGTGGGCTCTGTTACCGTGGGCTCTGTTGTCGTGGGCTCTGTTGTCGTGGGCTCTGTTGTCGTGGGCTCTGTTGTCGTGGGCTCTGTTGTCGTGGGCTCTGTTGTCGTGGGCTCTGTTGTCGTGGGCTCTGTTGTCGTCAGCTCTGTCGTCATAAGCTCTGTTACCGTCGGCTCTGTTACCGTCAGCTCTGTTACCATGGACTTTGTTACCGTGGGCTCTGTTGTCGTCAGCTCTCTTACTGTCAGCTCTGTTATCGTCAGCTTTGTTACCGTCAGCTCTGTCGCCGTCAGCTCTGTAGTCGTCAGCTCTGTCGCCGTCAGCTCTGTAGTCGTCAGCTCTGTAGTCGTCTGCTCTGTAGTCGTCTGCTCTGTAGTCGTCTGCTCTGTAGTCGTCTGCTCTGTAGTCGTCAGCTCTGTTACCGTCAGCTTTGTTACCGTCAGCTCTGTTATCGTCAGCTTTGATACCGTCAGCTCTGTTACCATCAGCTCTGTCGCTGTCAGCTCTGTAGTCGTCAACTCTGTAGTCGTCAGCTCTGTAGTCGTCAGCTCTGTTACCGTCAGCTCTGTTACCATCAGCTCTGTCGCTGTCAGCTCTGTAGACGTCAACTCTGTAGTCGTCAGCTCTGTAGTCGTCAGCTCTGTTACCGTCAGCTCTGTTACCGTCAGCTCTGTTACCATCAGCTCTGTCGCTGTCAGCTCTGTAGTCGTCAACTCTGTCGCCGTCAGCTCTGTCGCCGTCAGCTCTGTCGCCGTCAGCTCTGTAGTCGTCAGCTTTGTAGTCGTCAGCTCTGTAGTCGTCAGCTCTGTTACGGTCAGCTCTGTAGTCGTCAGCTCTGTTGCCGTCAGCTCTGTTACCGTCAGCTCTGTTACCGTCAGCGCTGTTACCGTCAGCGCTGTTACCGTCAGCGCTGTTACCGTCAGCTCTGTTACCGTCAGCTCTGTTACCGTCAGCGCTGTTACCGTCAGCGCTGTTACCGTCAGCTCTGTTACCGTCAGCTCTGTTGCCGTCAGCTCTGTTACCGTCAGCTCTGTTACCGTCAGCGCTGTTACCGTCAGCGCTGTTACCGTCAGCGCTGTTACCGTCAGCTCTGTTACCGTCAGCTCTGTTACCGTCAGCGCTGTTACCGTCAGCGCTGTTACCGTCAGCTCTGTTACCGTCAGCTCTGTTACCGTCAGCTCTGTTACCGTCAGCTCTGTAGTCGTCAGCTTTGTAGTCGTCAGCTTTGTAGTCGTCAGCTTTGTAGTCGTCAGCTCTGTAGTCGTCAGCTCTGTTACCATCAGCTCTGTTACCGTCAGCTTTGTTACCGTCAGCTCTGTTACCGTCAGCGCTGTTACCGTCAGCGCTGTTACCGTCAGCGCTGTTACCGTCAGCTCTGTTACCGTCAGCTCTGTTACCGTCAGCGCTGTTACCGTCAGCGCTGTTACCGTCAGCTCTGTTACCGTCAGCTCTGTTACCGTCAGCTCTGTTACGGTCAGCTCTGTTACGGTCAGCTCTGTTACGGTCAGCTCTGTTACGGTCAGCTCTGTTACTGTCAGCTCTGTTACTGTCAGCTCTGTTACTGTCAGCTCTGTTACCATCAGCTCTGTTACCGTCAGCTTTGTTACCGTCAGCTCTGTTATCGTCAGCTTTGATACCGTCAGCTCTGTTACCATCAGCTCTGTCGCTGTCAGCTCTGTAGTCGTCAACTCTGTAGTCGTCAGCTCTGTAGTCGTCAGCTCTGTTACCGTCAGCTCTGTTACCGTCAGCTCTGTTACCATCAGCTCTGTCGCTGTCAGCTCTGTAGTCGTCAACTCTGTAGTCGTCAGCTCTGTAGTCGTCAGCTCGTTACCGTCAGCTCTGTCGCTGTCAGCTCTGTAGTCGTCAACTCTGTCGCCGTCAGCTCTGTCGCCGTCAGCTCTGTCGCCGTCAGCTCTGTAGTCGTCAGCTTTGTAGTCGTCAGCTCTGTAGTCGTCAGCTTTGTAGTCGTCAGCTTTGTAGTCGTCAGCTTTGTAGTCGTCAGCTCTGTAGTCGTCAGCTCTGTAGTCGTCAGCTTTGTAGTCGTCAGCTCTGTAGTCGTCAGCTCTGTAGTCGTCAGCTCTGTAGTCGTCAGCTCTGTTACGGTCAGCTCTGTAGTCGTCAGCTCTGTTGCCGTCAGCTCTGTTACCGTCAGCGCTGTTACCGTCAGCGCTGTTACCGTCAGCGCTGTTACCGTCAGCGCTGTTACCGTCAGCTCTGTTACCGTCAGCTCTGTTACCGTCAGCGCTGTTACCGTCAGCTCTGTTACCGTCAGCTCTGTTACCGTCAGCTCTGTTACCGTCAGCTCTGTTACCGTCAGCTCTGTTACCGTCAGCTCTGTTACCGTCAGCTCTGTTACCGTCAGCTCTGTTACTGTCAGCTCTGTTACTGTCAGCTCTGTTACCGTCAGCTCTGTTACTGTCAGCTCTGTTATCGTCAGCTTTGATACCGTCAGCTCTGTTACCATCAGCTCTGTCGCTGTCAGCTCTGTAGTCGTCAACTCTGTAGTCGTCAGCTCTGTAGTCGTCAGCTCTGTAGTCGTCAGCTCTGTAGTCGTCAGCTCTGTAGTCGTCAGCTCTGTTACCGTCAACTCTGTTACCGTCAGCTTTGTTATTGTCTGCTCTGTTACGGTCTGCTCTGCTATGGTCTGCTATGTTATCGTCAGCTCTTGTTGTCGTTAACATTTTTACGTCAACTCTGCTACTGTCAACTCTTTTACGTCAACTCTGTTATCGCCAACCCTGTTATTGTGCGCTCTGTTACATCAACTTGATTGGCATCATCTCTGTTGTTGCCAATTGTGTTATCATCGAATCTGTTACCATAATTTCTGTTATTGTCATCTCTGTTGTCGTTAACTCTGTTGTCGTCCACTTTATTGTCATCAGCTCTGTTGTCATCAACTCTTTTATCATCAACTCTGTTGTTGTTCACTCTGTTGCACTCAGCTTTTTGAGAGTTTGAGCTTGTAGGGGTGGCCTGCCTATTTATTTGATTACTTTTGACTGCGTTATGTTTAGGGAGAAAGGTAAGCTTCCTGTATTTTCGTTTAAATATTTATAGGTCATTTAGTTCGTTTACTTTGCAGCTTCTGTTTGTTATTTTGGCCTGTGGCCACCCTGAAAAGATGCTCATTTAAAACTGCAATTTTTTTTCTATAATAAATCTATTTAATTACTTTCTACTGAGTGTCCGAGTTTGGTTGTTGACTGAAGTAGGTCTTTTGCGTCAAGTTTTTGTTTTGTCTGGGAAATCCACCACCCACAACACATTTGGTTTTCGTTTATTATGGCCATGTTGTATTCCCCTAGACTTGGGGCGTAATAGTTATCGTCAACTTGGTTATTATCCAGTCTTATGGTCAAATCTGTTATCGTCAACAGTGTTATCATCAAATCTGTTACAGTCAACTTTGTTATAGTTTAACAATATGTTAAACAACAGTTACAGAATCCGATGTTTTCTATCACATATAAGCATGTTGCATTGTTTGACATTAATAATAAGTTCAGTTTTTTTACCGCTCTGAACATAATTTACAGTTTATAGTAAGGGTGTCAAAATAAATAGTTTCTTCGGTGCACCACGATGCAGACGCCGACAATTCGGTATCGGTTCAGTAATAATCATAACCGGTTATTGTGTACTGACGTCATTTATCTCATATGCACTATGTTGCTGTAGCTTACTAGGCGAGCGTGAGTATTTACAACACTCCAACTACTTATATATATACTTATATATATACAAATAGTATATATATAATATATATAGTATATATATCCATATACTTATATATATACAAATAGTATATAAATATATTCATACATTTTAATACAGGAATTCTGCTGTGAAGAAATATTAAACTGTATGGACAGCGCTGTCAATGCACCCTGATGCACTGAGATGTCGAATTGAACCGAATCGATGGCATGATAATCGTCACCGAACCGTGAGAGCAGTGTAGGTTCACAGCTCTAGTTTATAGTATATTCACACAATAAAACAGCAGTTATTAAATCTCATGATTTTACAAATTTGACTTTATTTTTGATCAGATAAACCCAGCATTGTCAAGCAGATGAGACTATCTCTATAACACCATATTACTGTGAGCTTGTTGTATTGAAGTGGGTGTGTGTGTGTGTGTGTGTGTGTGTGTGTGTGTGTGTGTGTGTGTGTGTGTGTGCGTGCGTGCGTGCGTGCGTGCGTGCGTGCGTGCGTGCGTGCGTGCGTGCGTGCGTGCGTGCGTGCGTGCGTGCGTGCGTGCGTGCGTGCGTGCGTGCGTGCGTGCGTGCGTGCTGTTTTTGCAGCACTTCCGTCCTGAAGCTCCTCCGTCTGAAGGGCCGCAGTACATGAATAAAGCCTTCAGTGCGTATCGAGGAATCTACATGGAGAAGGAGGATCTGCAGCTGGAGCTCAATAGAGTGGTACTGTGTGCTGCACTGCTGCTGTTTTACACACAGACACACACACATGCTCTCACATACATTAATACACACACACAAACACTCACACATGCATAAATATACACATACATACATGCATGAATACAAACACGTACATAAATAGACACACTTTCAAACACACACTTATACACACACACATACTCACACATACATAAATACACATACACACATACACAATCTCACACACACGCTTATATACTCTCTCTCACACACACTTATATAATCTCTCTCACACACTTACACACACTCAACAGTCATGTGTGTTTGCTTCCAGAAAAAAGATAAGCAGGATGTGGAGCGGGTCCTGACGGAGCAACTGCAGGCCAAAGAGCTGGAGCTGCTGCAGCTGCGCTCCGAGATGGAGACCAGCCAAGGTCAGGCTTCAAAACAACTGCACCTCATATCACACACCTCTGTTCATTCATAAATAACACAATATTATACAGCAATAATACTGCATTATAATACATAATACAACAACTAACTAGTGGTATACCTGATGGTCTGCTGAATGCTGGATTCTGATTGGCTGATGGTCTCTCTCAGGTGTCAGGTGTTTGGTTATTGTCAGATAAAGGCACAGCTAATGTAGTTCCGGCAGATTTAGCGCGCATTACAGCTCCATATCACTACACTAACATTATACTACAGGTCTACTGAATGCTTGATTCTGATTGGCTGCTGGTCACTCTCAGGTGTTTGGTCATTGACAGATAAAGGCACAGCTAAAGTAGTTTCGGCAGGTTTAGAGTGCATTACTGCTTCATATCACTACACTAACATTATACTACAGGTCTGCTGAATGGTTGATTCTGATTGGCTGCTGGTCACTCT